CTATCACATTTTGTAAAGGCAATTCTTGTAAACTCAACTTGACGTTCATATATTGAAGTCTTAAAGGAAAATTTATTTAATTGAATATTTATTATATGTTCTCAAATTCTGGAGAAAAAGCAAGCAACGCTTTTGCTATACCTGACTGAAATTTTAAGGGTTAAATGAAGAAGTTTACATGTATTTTATACGTTTTTGCAATTCTTCTCACGACTACTAACACATGTTGTCGCCCAATGGCTCATGCAGGAGCTAATATTTATTGTTATTTTATTTAGTTTGTTTTGTTTAAATTATTTATTTGTTCTTTATTTGATTTATTTGTTTTATTTAATTTCTTTTATTTGTCCCTTTAAATTTGTTTTATTTCTTTAATTTGATTTATATTTATTTAGCCACCTTAATGTTGTTTATAATTGTATGATCATTGTTGTTATTATTTTGTTCATATGACCGTTAGGATTTTTATATTGTTCTTTTTATTCCCTTTTGTTCTTATTTGTTTACGAACTAATCGCACTTTGTCTCTAAATTCTACTGCAGTATTTTCGTTAAGTTTTTTGTTTGTTTGGAATGTAACAGTTAGTAAATATACATAACAGAAAGAAATTTATAGGCTCAGTATTTACTGGCTTTAATATTAAAGTTTAGTTTGTTGGGGACAAAGACTGCGGTAAGTGATTTTTATTAGAAATAAACGTTTACACCCTTGCATCATAATTTTAAACAAATTTGTGGTTCTTTTTGGGTGTTTGTTAAACTCGCTGTCCTCAACATAAGGCTCAAGTCGCAGCCAGCGACAAATTTTATTTCGCAATCTTTGGTGCGATTGTGGTTCCTTGCCTGCCGGAACAAATTTTATTGGATTTAGATGATTTTTTGTTGTTCCTTGCCCGCCGGAACATTAATACGTTTTTGTGTAATTTTATGTAAGCGGTTCCTTGCCTGCCGGAACAAATTTTATTTGTACTTTTGTGTCAATTTGTGGTTCCTTGTCCGTCCGAACAAATTTCAATTGGAATAATTTTTGCCTGCTGGAACATTAAGAAGTTTTGTGTGAATTTATTTATTTTTTTCTTGCCTGCCGGAACATAAAATAAATTTGAAAAGAGCTCAAGTGGTTTCTGTCTGCCGGGACAAATAATAAATTTATTTAAAATAATTTTGGTGAACAATTTGCCGATTAAATTTTTGGTGTGAAATTTTTTGTGGTTTTTTGAGAAACCTTTTGTGTATTTGTGGTTCATCATGCAACGCTCCACTGCAAGAAAAAGTCAGCGCTTACAGTCAACAATGAATCAGCCTACTAGTGGTTCCTCGTCTGCCGGAACAAAAGTTGGTTCCCAACAAATGACTGCTTCTGCCGCTGAAGTCTCTGCCCTGTCTGCCAGTTCCCTTGCCGCTGGAACATCATCGACTCCCACTGCCGCTGGAGTGCCTCCACCAAACGTAAGTACCAGTGTCGCCTATTCAACCCAACCATCTAAAGTTGCTCCTTTTATTGCCGAGGTGCCTGCAAGTTCCATCGTTGCCGGAACGACGTGTACCGTAGCCACCACAGTTGCCGCCAGTGTTCAGCCTAACCAACAACATTTTTTGAGCTCTGCTGTTCAGCCGCCGTTGCCCCAGTCGAGCTACAACAACAATTTAGAAGTTCTCCAAAGCCAGATAAATGTTCTCCAGGTCCAGTTGTTAAATGCCCAGCGTGCTTTGTCCATCGCCATGAGCAATAATTCGACGTCAAGCTCTTCAGCCGCCATGCCACAGCCATCCAAAATGGCGCCGCCAGTAACGGGTACCAGTGAAGCCAACATTGGCAATTCTGCCTCAGCCAACGTCGACTGCGCTGAACGTCGGACGCCATTTTCTTCCGTAAGCTGTAATGAAAATAATTTTTTGATGCCGCCAAATATGCCGTTGTCTCAAAATGGTGGCTCGATGCTGGTGCATAGAAAAATTTATGACTTGCCGGAATTTAATGGCGTCCCTGAAGATTGGCCCATGTTTTCAACGGCTTTTAACCAGTCTACTGCCGTTTATAATTATAATAATTTTGAAAATTGTTTGAGGCTCCAAAAGGCTTTGAAGGGCGATGCACGGGAATGTGTGAAGTCGTTGCTGATCCATCCAGATAATGTGAGTATGGTTATGGAACAATTGTGTTTTCAATATGGTCGACCCGAAATGCTCATCCGTTGTCAGCTGCAACAAGTTAAAGAAATTTCGCCCATTAGTGAAAGTGCTATCGACAAACTTGTGCCTCTTGCTGTTAAAGTGCAGAATCTAGCCGCCTTTTTGGAAACTGCCAATGGACAACAGCATTTAGCAAATCCTACACTGATGGAAGAGCTGGTCGGGAAAATTCCTATGAGTAAACGGATGGAGTGGGCCCGCTACGCCTCAACTATAAAGCCATATCCTACAGTTTTGGATTTTAGTAGGTGGCTCAAAGGTGTCGCTGCTTTGGTAAGAATGGTGCAAAGTTCTAGTGGAAATCGTCAAAATAATGAACCAAAAAAAAAGTTGTCCTCCATGCCGCTGATGGTCAACATAAACAAGAATGCCCTCTGTGCCAGGCAAATCATAAAATATTTGAGTGTAAAAAATTTGGTTCATTGAGTGTGCCTAATCGTTGGAGTGAAGTTAAGAAATTGAGGTTATGTTTTTCGTGTCTCGGTAGTGGTATCGTAAGACGTGTCTCGTTGATGGTTGCCTAAGAAAACATAACAAATTATTGCATGATGTCAAAATTAATAATACGGTTTCATCTGAGACTCCTGGTCCAAGTGGTTCATCGAATGGAAATGAGTTTGTGCTTAGTTGTGTGTCCAAAGCTACAGATAAAAGTGTGTTGTTATTTCTAGTAGTGCCAATTGTGCTTTATGGTCCTAGTAACAAAGTCGAAACATATGCGTTGTTGGATGAAGGTTCTTCGGTTACTATGGTGGACAGCTCCTTGGTGAAGCAACTGGGTCTTCAGAGGCAACAAAGCAGATTAAATCTACACTGGTATGCTGGTAAGGCGTCACAAGAAATGGCGACTGTGGTTCATTTGCAAGTAAATGGAATTGGTAGGCAGAGGAAATATGCGTTAAATAATGTTTATGGAGTTTCAAATTTAAAATTGCCGGCCCAAAGTTTAAATATGAATTTAAGTGATCATCCTGGTTTGCCCATTAAATTATACGACGACACAGTCCCTAAAGTGCTTATTGGATTGGATCATTGCCATCTGGGGATTCCCGATGAAATTGTGCCTCTGGAAGAAAATGGTCCATATGCTGCCAATACTCCTTTAGGATGGGTCGTATTTGGTAAAATGAAGGGTAAGTCGTCCAATTCCCATTTGTGTTTGTTGTCGGTTCAGCCTGAGCAAAGACTCTATGATTTGGTGGCAAATTATTTCGAAACGGAGAATTTTGGCGTGAAGATATTGCCAGTCATAGAATCGAAGGACGACTTACGGGCCCGGCAGATTATGAAAGAAACAACAATAAAAATTGGAGGACGATTCCAAACTCGGCTCTTGTGGCGTACTGATGATGTTGTGCTTCCTGACAGTAACCATATGGCTCTTAATAGGCTCGTTGGCATTGAACGAAAAATGAAAAGATGTCCTGAATTCGGTGCTGCCTTTAAAACCATAATGAAGGATTATTTGTCGAAGAATTATGTACGTAAACTGTCACCCATAGAAGCTGCTGATGTATGCCCCAGAACTTGGTATCTTCCGCATTTTGGAGTGGTCAACCCAAATAAGCAAGGAAAAATTCGGTTGGTGTTTGATGCTGCCGCATCCGTTGAAGGTGTTTCTCTCAATTCAAACCTGCTTAAAGGACCAGTGTGCGGGGACATAAAATAAATGTTTCACCAGGTACTTGTGGCTCCTGAAGATAGATGTTCTCAAAGGTTCCTTTGGCGTGAAGATAATAGAGAACCACCCGATTGCTATGAAATGCTTGTTATGACTTTTGGTGCTGCTTGTTCGCCTTGTGTGGCTCATTATGTTAAAGAAACAAATGCTCTGTGTTATCGTAATCAATATCCTCGTGCAGTGAAGTCTATCTTGGATCATCATTATGTGGATGACTTTGTGGATAGTTTTCCTAGCTCTGCAAGGGCCATTGAAATTTCGCAACAAGTACGCAACATCCATAAAGCAGCTGGGTTTGAACTACGTAACTTTTCATCTAACTCTTCGGAGGTAATTGTGGCTCTTAAAGGTACTGTGGAGAAACCGGTGAATTTTTCCAGCGATTTTAATGAGCTAAAAACGGAAAAGGTACGTGGTATGTATTGGCAACCAAAAGATGATACTTTCAGGTTCAAGTTAAAGTCCCACAATGTGAATGCTGGTGTTATGGAAGGTGTAAGGTCTCCAACTAAAAGAGAGCTGTTGAGTGTGGTTATGTCCGTTTTCGACCCACTTGGGTTTTTGAGCCACTATATGATAACCGCAAAGTTGTTGATGCGAGAAGTTTGGAGACATAGCATTGGTTGGGATGAAGCACTGTCCGGTGAAATTGTTGATGTGTGGAATAATTGGCGCCAAGGTCTTCAAAATGTTGAAAAGGTCAAAGTACCTCGGTGTTATTTTGGAAATGGTGTTCCTTACCGCCTGGAACTACATGTTTTTGTCGACGCCAGTGAAGACGCATTTGGAGCCGTGTCATACTGGAGGTCAATAAATGCCCATAATAAAATTGAAGTGTCTCTTGTGGCTGCCAAATCTAGATGTGCCCCTTTGAAGATTATGAGTATTCCTCGGCTCGAACTACAGGCTGCTGTTTTAGGTACTCGGTTAATGGTTACATTCCGTTAAGGTATCAAGGATTATTTGTTGGAGTGATTCTACAACTGTAATAAATTGGATTGGCTCAGAAAGTCGTCGTTACAAACCTTTTGTTGCCCACAGAATAACGGAGATACTTGAATCTACTAGCCCTGCAGATTGGAGATGGCTGCCAACAAATCTAAATGTTGCAGATGAAACTACAAGAATGAAAAGCCAAGTTGATTTTTCTAATGATTCCCGGTGGTTTAATGGTCCAACATTTCTATATGACAGTGAAGATGAATGGCCTAAAAAGGTAAATGTAGCCCAAAATATAGGAGATGTAGAAGAACTTCGTCCAAAATTTGCTCTATTGGTAAATATTGATGCAGTTATTAATTATACAAGATTTTCGTCCTATTTGAAATTAAAACGTATAGTGGCTTGGGTGTTACGTTTTATAAACCGCTGCAGAAAAGAGATTGGTCCTGGTGAGGAAAATGGTTTAACTGCAGACGAGTTAAAAAATGCTGAAATATTGCTCTGCCGTCAAGCTCAACGAGAGCATTTTTGCCAAGAAATTGAAATAATTGAAAATGAAGGTAGTTTGCCCAAAAGTAGTGAATTGTACGCCCTGTGCTCTTATATGGATGAAAATTCATTACTTCGTGTCTATGGTCGTGTTGATGCTGCTAGCTGGTTACCATTGGATATAAGGCGTCCGATTATATTACCGTCGTTCCATCCTGTTACCGAGTTGTTTGTGGCCCATGTACACGAAAAGATGAAACACCAAAATTTTGAGTCCACAATATGTGAAATTAGAAGATCATTTTGGATTCCTCGCCTTAGAAAAATTTTGCATAAGCGTGTTTCTAATTGTTTTATTTGCAGATTTCGTCGTACATTGCCGGTGCCACCACTTATGGGGTTCTTTGCCAAAGGACAGGTTGACTCCATATATTCGTCCCTTTTCCTACACAGGTTTGGATTACTTTGGCCCACTTACTATTACAATTGGTCGTCGCCATGAAAAACGCTGGGTGGCTTTATTTACTTGCCTGACCATAAGAGCCATCCATTTAGAAGTCGCCTTTGATTTGTCCACAGATGCGTGTATTCTTGCCATACGCAACTTTATAAATAGACGTGGCCTTCCTACAAGACTCAGGAGCGACAATGGAAAAAATTTTGTTGGTGCTGATCAAGTAGCTAAGCGGTTCAGTGAAGTACTTGATGTGGCTCGTATTCAAGATGAATGCTCTACGAAGGGTATAGACTGGCAGTTCAATTGTCCCCACAATCCTGCGGAAGGGGGTATATGGGAACGTATGGTCCAGTGTGTCAAACGTGTCTTGCAGTCAACTTTAAAAGAATCGGCCCCCGGGAACATACGTTGCAAAGTTTCCTTATTGAAGCGGAAAATATTGTGAATTCTCGTCCCTTAACGCACTTGCCCTTGAGCCATGAATATGAGGAACCACTAACGCCGAATCATTTTTTGCTGGGTTGCCCTAATACATCGCAAACTCCTGCTGGGGAAATAAATGTTCAACCAATGGTCCTGAGAAAGCAGTGGCGCATTTCCCGTCAGTTACGCGATCACTTCTGGAAGCGGTGGATAAGAGAATATTTCCCAACGATGACTAGACGTTCCAAGTGGTGTCAACGTACGAAGCCCATTGCTGTTGGTGATTTGGTCCTAATTTGTGATCCAGTCGTGTCTCGTAGAGATTGGAAGCGTGGTAAAGTTGAAGAAGTGCTTAAAGGGAGAGATGGTGTTATTCGTCGTGCTAATATTCGCACTAGTACTGGATGTTTAATGCGCCCTTTCCAAGCTGGCTATCCTTGATTTGGAATAGTGAATCGTAGCCGTTCCACGGGGGTGGGGATGTCGCCCAATGGCTCATGCAGGAGCTAATATTTATTGTTATTTTATTTAGTTTGTTTTGTTTAAATTATTTATTTGTTCTTTATTTGATTTATTTGTTTTATTTAATTTCTTTTATTTGTCCCTTTAAATTTGTTTTATTTCTTTAATTTGATTTATATTTATTGAGCCACCTTAATGTTGTTTATAATTGTATG